CGTCCTTAGCACAGTATTACCGTTCAATAGATGGTTAAATTTATTTTTATAATAAATTTATTTGAAGATATAAATATTGCTGATGTTTTGTATAAACTCAGTGAAACTTAATAAATAGTTTGACCGGCACAAATAAAAAAAAAGCGACACTTGTCGTAGCTCGCAGTGGTCACTGACTCACTGTGACTTTCTCCGTACCTGCCTAGCCAAACTGATTAACTGAACCATTTCAGCGGGCAGCGTGGGACAATTGCATGTATGTGTTGGCACGCTCGCTAGGGTACTTTTTCTACGACACTTACCGTCCCCGTTGCATCCTGGTTAACCGCTCACGCTCATACAGCCTTCAAACTTTAGAATTTGAGTTCAAATGGACCGCGCGCTGTCTCTGAATTCTGAAAGACTGGAAGAACCGCGTGGCTTGGAGCCTACTAAATACAAGGCTAGTAACTGATCGACGATGACCAGGTCCGGTCCTTCGTTTTACTTCTTCAGCAGCCGTGGGTGTCTTCCATTATTCCAACAGACAGCTTAACGAGCATTCGATGTACACAGTAGACATATATACTCCACCCCAGCACTGCTCTCTCCATTTCGTAATGATAACCGTAATAAACAGGGGAAGTCAACTTATACAATTTTAATCAACAATTATTCAAATTATATGTAAGTATATGCACAACCTCTTGCATCTCTGCGTGTGCCAGACAAGAGCCCGAGCTGCCCGAGAGGGGGAAACAACGGTGGTTGGAAAGGTTCAAACCACCTGAGAGAGGATGCTGAGCATCTCCATCGGATTGAGAAAACTCAATCCATTTTCTTTATAATAGTGATAAAAGGGGATTAAGTACAAAAGAAAGCTTTAGCGGATCCCTTCTAAATCCCTTTGGCTATAGTTTTCTCAATCTTTTAAAACCTCCCCCTCAATCCATTTTCTTCCATCAAATTGTGACCACCGCCGGATCCCCGCATCTACACTCGACGCTCGCCCATTGGCAGAGGTCTGCTGCATGCCAAAAAAAACATGACCGCACGGACGAGGGCAGCGTCGCAAGGGTGTGGGCCGGACACACCACCTCGCCGCATGGACAAGTTCTGGGCACACTGGGGCTTCGCACACCTGGGCGAGAAAGGGAGGAAGAGGAGAAAGAGCATGGGCGAGCGTCGGTCATGCGTGCCCCCCATGCCCGGCCGAGAGTGGGGGAAAAGGAAAGAGAGAAGAGATGGAAAAGGATATTCTAACTGATTGATAGATGAATTTCACTAATGAAGGGGACAAGGTTTCCTCAAATTGTTGTATTAGCACCCTGATAATTTAGAACCTTGTTTTCTCAATTTTCTATAGTATATAAATTTTAAAATAAAGTATTAGTAGATCTAGTGGAGATACTCTAATAGCGTCCGCAGTGGAGGTTGTACACATATGTTCTAGGAAGCTACGTACCACGCTCCGCATCCACGTGCCCGCGACGGCTTCAATCTGCTGGACCCGATCGCCGTTGTCGTCCTGTGCACCACCTCCGCGCTCGCCGTGTCTGGCGCGTGCACCATCAGTTCGATAGCATTCGTGGTCGGCATCGCCATCGCCAGCGCGTTCGTGCTTGGCGCGGGGTTCTCGACGCCGAGGCCGCCAACCTCGCGCCGTCTTCTTCTTCCCCTTCGGCTCTTTGGGGTCTTCAGCGCCGCTGCATCGCCGTGTCTTGGTCCTACACGGGGTTCGACAAGGTGGCCACCATGACCGAGGAGGCCAAGAACCCCGGCCGCGACATGCCGCTGGGCCTCATCTCGTCCATGTTGGTTATCACCCTCGTCTACCGTGCCATGCCCCCTGGTGCTCGTGGGGATGCAGCGGTACAGCGACATTGACGCCAACGCAGCAACGCGGCCTACTCGGTGGAGTTTTTTGGCGTCCGGGATGAAGTGGGCGCGTACGTGCTCCTGGGCCTCCTACTACGCGGTGTTTCGCCGTGGCCGCCACGGACGCGAACTCCCCTCCGCACGACGATGGCGGTGCACAGCGGCTCTGGCAGAGCGTAGACGGCGGTGTCCGGGTGCTACGCGGGCCCACTGTTCAACACGGTGATGGGGGCTTAGGGGCTGGGCCTGTCGCTACGCTGGCAGGTGGCGGCGGGCGCGTAGCATCCGACCCCGTTCGTGGTTTGCCGTGGCGCGCGCAGGAGCTTACGAGGTGTGCGTGGTCAGTCAGGCCTTGCGCTTGCAGTTGAACTGAGGAGACACGTGTGCAAAAACAGGGATCTAAAACCGGTTTGGACCTTGGTGATACATTTGGCAAGTTTAAGATCTGACCCGAAAATCTGATCTTATAAATACATGGACTTATTTGGAAATACCGAATAAGTTCAAGCACCCACATGTGGATTTTACTCTAATAATTATTATGGCAACGAACTACTCCTCCATTCTCTTTTATAGGAGGTGCACACCTATCAAGAGTTACTAAACTTTAAAAAATTTGATCAATAATTTAGCTCACAATTTTAGTTATTATACTATACATTTAATAAGGTTAGATTGGTAATTAAACATACTATGCGACTATCAAAAAAATTATAACAAATATACAAATAATATAATATAAATAAATGGTAAAAAACTCAAAATGTAGTTTAGGTTGCTCATAAAAAAATACTCTGAGCTGGCCCAACAGAAAAATATACATGGACAAAGATTTTTTTTAAACAATATTTTTTTAATGATTAATTCAATGAGCTCCACAAGTTGGCTAGCTATCTAGCTTCTTCTATTCTCAGCCTGCTGCTTGCATTGGCTTGCTAGCTGCATGCGGATCTACGTACATATATATTTACTACGTGTGTTCAACGGAAATCGATCGCAATGCATTTGGATGTATGGGCGTGGATCTATCGGCTTCTAGACCGCCGACGGAGCCGCCATATCGGTAGTCCAGGAGCCGACAAGTCTCTGAGTCGGGCCGATAGGCCAATTGGCTGTCCACTGGCCGATAGGTCCACCGTCAAAATGCAGAAGGCCCAGATGCATCAGGCAACTTTAATAGTTGATTTCTCTTAACTACATCTAATAGTTGCTAGGTGAAACCAAACCGGGCCATGTAAAATTTTATTTTGGTGTATAGCATTATATTCTCACTTTGATCTCGGGACTGCACCCACAACTTAGGGGATGCTTGGTTGCTGCCTCCCAGGCAAGAAAACAGCTAGGCAGACATATCCACCCCAAGCTGATGAAATCCAACGCCGGAGTGGTTGCCTAGCCCAGGCAACTTTTTAGTCTCCCAACCAAACAGCCTCTTAGTCCTCTTGGTAAAACTTGTTACTCTTGTATGCAAGTGTCTCTATATCTTATATCTTCTATATACGTGTAGTCATATACACGTGTGACACGCATGTGTTTGTATTGTTGTGACAGATGACATCATATATATAGGCACGTGTTTATATATGGTTGTGACAGACGACACGTGCGACACGACGAGCAATGAGGCCATGGCGACGCCCAGCTAGCCAAGAGCTCCGCCCCGCGCCTAGGACACGTGAGATCGGAGGAAGAAGAAAACGCCGTTGTTTTTTTTCATTTTCACACCCTTATGCCCCTAATGAGGGGTCCACCAGGTAGCAATATAAGAGGAAGTGGAGATTCACTTTTTTAAGATTTAGCTTGTACTGGGACATCCATAAGATCAGAGCCGCTTTGGTTGCATGTCCCTTCTAGCTGTAGATTCATAAAGCACATTTAATTTACCCAATATAAGGAATTTTGATAATATATGGCACACACATGCACGCACCACGCTTGGGATTTTGTAATGTTACGAACACCTGAACGTGTATTTACTTGAGGCCATACTGATTCATACCATGGTAGTAATAAGAAAGGAATTAAGCCACATCTATGATGAAAACAAGTTTGTAATGTTACAAAAGACCTGAACGCTAAAAGAAAGCCTCACCAACGAGGAACAAAAACGTTTTGCTAATTAAGTGACAACTAGTAAACTAATGATTTCAATATAAGATGATTAAATCCAATTCGTTCAGGCTTGACCTGAGCGGCTACACCGGACCGTCCGATGTAACGCACCGGAGTCCAAGTACATGCAATCAGCGCGGGTCTACTCAAAATTTGACTGCGAGAACATGATCGAAGAAATGTGTTGGAGGCGCGCTGCTTTATCCTCGGAAGCTACATACAGCCTACAGTACTACTCTTGTGATCGTAATGCATGGACAATAGAAATAGGGCAGTACTACACGGCCTACGTAGAACACGATGATCGAGATATATGACATGAACATGATGATCGAGATTAGTCCACGGTGACTCATAGAATACACGACCGAACCGTACGTACGTGTCCAAAGTCACAAACATTCTCGCTTGAACCGGTCCAACCGTAAGCACAGATCGACTGAGAATTCACGAACCCTAGCAACAAGGCAATGAGAAGCTAGAACACTTGCCGAATACCATTTCTGAATCGAGGAAACGGATATTTCACGGTTGGATCGGAGTTCGTATATATATATATATATATATATATATATATATATATATATATATATATATATATATATATATATATATATATATATATATATATATATATATATAGGGAGTTCGTTCATATGCCTTCGTTACGACACTTGCATCGACTTCAGCTTCAGCCTTCAGAATTTGAACTCAAATGGACCGCGCTGATCAACAGTTTGAAAATTAAACCGTGTAACTAGGCTTAGGCTTGACCTGAGAACAAAATTTAGAAGTCTCGAAAATGGTACCCGGTCCATAGTAATGTACTAGTATGTTTGTTCGGCCATTGATCAGACATATGGGAAACGAACTCTATAAAGGAAGCCATCATGCATGCTTCCCTCCAACCAAAAACAAACACTTCGACGCTTTCTTCCACGTACGCGCACATATACTCCTCACAGCTAGCTAGCAAGTAGCAACAACGCACACCTAGCCCCAGCTTGTTTGCAATCAAACGTAGCATCGACATGGCATCGACGACGGCGGCAACGATGGTGAAGGCGGTGGTGGTGGCCGTGCTGCTGATGCAATGCTGCGACGTGATCCTCTCGGCGAGGCCGTTGCTGAATGCGGCGGCGGGGGCGGACGACGGCGGGTGGCAGCTGGGGCAGGTGCTAGACAAGGGCAAGGGGTCGCCGGGCGGTCCCGGCAACGGCAACTGCGACTATACGAAACCCGGGAACCCCTGCCGGCCACCCCAACCATCGTCGTAGAGTGCTGCTCGGGTGCTGCGCCATGCATCTTCGTTCGTTGTTCAACTATTCCATGGAAAAACTGTTTTTTAAGCTATTTATTTATAGTAGATCGATAAGATATTTGGTTTAGGTAGAACAGACAATTTGCGAGAATAAAGCAGCCTCTGACATAGCTCGACTTGCAATCAGCAAGTTGTTGCACCGTCAGTTATTAGCTTGGTGATACAAGGCAACAACTTAGATTATTGATTTTAGGCTTACAATAATATATAAAGGTCCCAATTGCACCTATGATTGTATTCGTTCTGCAAATATTTAATGTCTTTATTGAAAAAGATGATATTTCGTTGTCTCAGTTTCTTTTCCTTACTATGAAAAATTGCAGGCTCTAATAGAGCATCCATATTTATCCTCATAAGACTACGATAGAAAAAGAATACATCTAAAACCCTCGTCTCAACTCTCAAGTGAAGTGCCTACCGTTAATGCCATCATGTCATTTGCGCGTGACCCAGAGAGACTAGTTTTAGCATTGGCCCATGGAGCTCGCAGCTCAGTTAGCATGTGTTTGGTTTGGAGCCACGTGGAATGGGTTGGTTTCACCTCACCTTTTTGGGTAAGGTCGAATACATCTCATGTTTGGTTAGAGGGATGGAGTTATCCTAGATTTCTATTTGGTTCGAAGGCAAATGGATGTGGGTTGCGGATTCTGGCATGTGGGCCCCTGCCTTTCTCTTTCTCTTCCTTCTTCCCCTACCTTTCTTCTCTCCCGACGCAATCACGCAAACGCCGCCGGCTCCTCGCCCGATACCGCTCTGCCCAGATGACGTGCAGCCTGCTCCATCCCCGACACTATGGCCCCGAGCACCACCGTTGCCGCTCCACCACGAGCTCGTTCCCATACACCGCCTAGGGTGATCCGCCGCGCCCTCGCCACCGGAGCTCCGCCCGACCTTGCTGCCGAAATCTGACCGCTATCGCCTCCAGAACTCAAGCATCGTGCCCTCGCAGCTCAGGCCTAAAGCACATGTTCACATGTTTGAGGAAAACGAAGTGGGTTGGATCGGTTTCTCCATTTTGGAGGAATTAGACGAACCCGCATATTAAGGGCATTTTCCCTACTGGGATGAACTCAACCCTTAATTTGGAATCCAAACCAAACACCTCTAAAAAAGGGCCTGATCCAACTAACCCAGTTCAACCCTCAAACCAAACACACGCTAATAGTAAGACATGAGAGGTTGCATTGGTTGGGCATGTTGTGCTTATCCGACCGCAGCTCTAGGAGTGTGCCAATGGAAGAACCGAAGAAGAAAGGGCGAGCGGGAGGTTGGGTTGACGGACATAGAAAAAAGGCAAGCCGGTGATTAGGCCGATAAGTGGGCTAGGCAACAGACGAAAATCATAGGAAAAAGATTTTCTCCTCCTCTTCAGCGACGGCGAGGAGACAGGGTGGATTCGTTTTCTCCATGGTGGCTCTGTTGAAGATGAGGGCGACAACTACGGTGTCAACAACTTCCTCGGCATGACGACATGGAGACTTTTCTTTTCGAACAGTGACATCAAGGCCGAGATGATGTCGCCGCCATAGAATAATTTTCTCCGGTCTCTTCTCCGTTTTATTGTGGTTAGATCTGGCCATGATGAAGGACTAGGGAGAATAAGTTTCAGATCAATCTTCCTCATTTTTCGGTGGCAGAAAGAAGAACAACGAATACACAAGAAAGAACAACTTTCTAAGTCCGCCTACAGGAATGTTGGCCGTCGTTCGCTGGGCATCTGTTCTCGTGCTTTTGACGAGTGTTTGCCTATACAGCCATCCATACTGAAGCGTTATATAGGTTTGGATTTGAGATTTGGAGCAATGCACAGTGTGGGTATAATTTAGATGAAAATCAAATTCTGGACATATAGTGTATTACAGAGTGTTTGTAACGTAATGATGTATCCAACTATAATCTAATATAATTCTTCTTTTCGTCTAAAAAAAAGACCTCAATGTCCAAAACTAAGAAATGGTGCTCACACTTTACGCTTATATACTCACATAAAGGAGACAAAACCAGAATCTATGTTCTAGGAAGCTACGTACATATATACCACAATAATATAAATAATTTAAATCAGAGCAGCATATATATAACTTATAAGCCCGCCGCATATAATATATAAACTTGTATTGATGGATCAATATTATCAGTCCGCGGGGACTCATCACTATATACGACCCGAACCGTTCAAAGGTACAAAACATTCACGAATGAACCGGTCCAACCAGTAGCCGAGATCGACTGAGAATTCACAATTTTTAACCCAAACAACATGGCAATGCATGAGAGTATCTATCTGAACCATTTCCGTGGGACTCGTTCGTAGTGAAAGGAGGAAATTAAACCAATGTTTCACGGTCGGATCAGAGTAGTTATGGATGTTCATATGACATGGTCTAGCTCACTAGGCACCTTATAATTTTAGTTCATATATATAAGCTTTCGTTAGAACAATTGCATCGACTTCAAACTTTGGAAATTGCATTGAACTCAAATATGGACCGCGGTGATCAACGACAGTTGAAATTTAAAAACAACGTAACGTAGCTTGGCTTCAACTGAGAACAAAATTATAGAAGACCCGAAAATATGGACCGCGGAGAAGAACTGACCCATCCCCGTCCTTAGTTGTTACTGTACTTTTTCAGAGAACACATTGCATATGGGGTAACGAACTATAAAAGGAAGCCATCATACATATGCATGCATGCTTCAATTCCCTAGCTAGTAGTTCCTCCAACAAAACCAAACCACTTTAATTCGACGCATCATTTTACGTACGTATACGTACATACTCTCCACTAGTAGTGGTATATATACGTGATTGTTGCGCAAGCAGGGATCGATTATTTGGTTGTCTGACTGACATGGCATCGACGACGACCGCAACGATGGTGAAGGCGGTGGTGGTGGCCGTGCTGCTGATGCAATGCCGCGAAGTGATCGTCGCGGCGAGGCCTTTGCTGCATGCGGCGGCAGGGGCGGACGGCGGGACGACGATGGTGATGCAGGTGCTGAGACAAGGGCAATAATGGTGGACCGAGACGCCCGGGCGGTGGCAACTGCAGCTGGAAGAAACCCGGGCACCCCGGCTGCCCGCCCCAACCATCATATCGTCGTAAATAGCTTGCCTACACTACAATGCCTTTCAAGGATGGAGTTCCATGCATGCATGGAAAAATGGATTCTTTTGAAGTGGTTTATACTAGTACATTTCTCGATATGGTATATACTTAATTAATTTAGAACAGAAGACAATGCGAGAATAAAATACTAGTCTGACATATCACAAGTTGTACTTATATATGGTTACTGATTTCAGGCTTATTGGAGTAGTAATAAAGGTCCCAGAGACTCCCAGTTGCGCTTATGCTATAGACAAACATTCTTTCTTTTCCAATATCAAATGACTTTTATTAATGTTTTAGTTTTGCAATATTCTAAATGCATAACATGTGGCTCGAACCATCCTTTATTTGTTAATGTGCATTGCTACTACATGAACAAGTTATACAACCGGCCGGTCCTCAACCACACCTTTCCTGTCGGATTTGGTACCGGGAGTCGTCGGAAGTAAGCACGCATGTGGTTGTACGTAAAACCCAGCCCATAACACAGCCTCGGCCATACTCAACTGCATCAGTGGATTCTGAGGTCAGACATGAGCCTTGTTGCCTTGTTGGAATAGATTCTCGGTCAATTCTGCTGGAGCCAACACTCATTCTGAGGTCGTATTTTCTAAAATAGTAAAGAGTTTTATTATTTTCTAAAACACATAAATATATAATTCGTTAAATGGTCAAAATATGAACGCATTACCCAAATTTTTGAAAATACAATCTATCTGTTGGAGCCAACACTCATTTTAAATTTTTTGCCCCTCATATTTGACATCAACCTCCCCCTCTCTCTTATCTTCTTCCCCACCCGAATGTTGCATGCCACCAAAATACTGTCGTATGCGTACTGCTCACTCCATCTCTAAATAAATCAATTCCTAAGATCTGTGTCAGTCAAACTTTTTTAAGTTTGACTAAATTTATAGAAAAGAGTAACAACATCTATGACATAAAATGAACACTTTACGAAATTTTTTTTGATAATAAATCTAATGATACTAATTTGATACCATAAATCTTAACGGTTTTTTTTTTCTAGAAATTTGGTAAAAGTTTAAAAGTTTAACTTAAGATAACTCTAAGAATCTATTTATTCAGAGAGAGAGAGAGGAGCATGTACTTTCTGGTTGACCAAGCACCGCCACTTTCTGGGAAGCTGTGTATTGCCAGTAACGGCCGGAAGAAACAGGTCAGAACACTAGCGGCTTGTGAACTTGATGAATCCGTCCGCAGGGGCTCCATCGTTGAATACGACCACACACACGATGACTATACGTGAAAGGTATGGCAGTATAGTACCTAGTATCTGTGCATGCATCGTCGGTCCAATCCAACCATTAGCATGCATGCATATATAGACCGACCGAGAATTCATAAATCCAAGCAAGAAAAGCCACGCATGCATACATACGGATTCCGGATTCGAACCTGGGGTTATCATGCATGGACTTCAAATTAGACTTACGAATCTGAATTCAAATGGACCGCCCGACCGCTGACGAAAACCGCGTGTAGCGCTAGCTTGACACCTTACTTGTATTAGGCTTGACCTGTGACAAATATTACATGGCTTGAATGAACAGTTGATGAACTGATGACCTGGTCCTTTGTTTTACCTTTCCGGGAGGCTGGTTAGCAAGCGTCACGAATTGAATCACGATACTATAAAAGGCAAACATTGTGCATCATTTGACGTACATACACATATATATACTCAAACTACTAGCAAAGAAATCTCCTAGTCCTGGCTAGCTTAGCCGCTTAATATATTAATTGCTAGCTTTTAATTTGTTTGCAATGGCACTCGCTACTATAGGGAGGCTTTTTATGGGCGGCTAGGGCCAGCCAT